GCCAGCGCAAAGTGGCACCCATTCTCTGCTGGCCAGCCTCGGGGAGGGTCCTCCCTTTGGTAGAAATAACCTAAGAATCCTCAACTCTCAGGCAAGCTGCCTGAGGAAGGGGCAGTAGGGAGGGAGAACTATGTCAACAGGAGACGCTGCCTTGGATCCAAGCTCAAGAAACATCCCATCATCCTACTCTACACAATCTAGAAGGCAATTCACAGCACATGACCACCTTTCAGTCTGAAGCACCGCATCCGGCATCAGCCACCTCCAAGCTGCCCTGTCCCTCTCACTCCAAGCTGCCCCATCCCCGCCTCTCTCTCCTGGCACTGGCACTCTGGGAAGCCATCGCCTCCTTTAACTGCAGCTCAACTGCTCCCCCAGGGCTCTCCCTGGTACATTATTTTCCTCAGTCAGGGCTCCACCCTAATTGTCTCACTTTAAGACAGGGAACAACTTACTCACCGGGCACAAGCCAGCTCACTACCTTTTTCCTCTCTCCACCTGCCTCCTCCTTCCCCTCCACTTACCCCAATCCTTCCGCCTTAAATGCCTAGGAAATTCCCGGTGACTCACCCAGCACGCTGTGTAATAACAGGAACATCACCTGCTCGTATCCCCTGCCCTGCAAACAACGGTCCCAGGGTCTCCGAGAGCCTGCCTGGGGCAGGATGCTGAGCCCGGTCTCAACCAGGAGTCCCTGCCCCGTAATTACCACAAGTGGCTTTGCTGGGGCAAAAGGCTCAACCTTCCCCAGATCTGAGCCCTGGAGCTAACGCCTGGAGTGCAGAGGAAATGAAAGGAGAAACCAGATGTCCTCTGCTTTCTTTCTTTTTGCACAGTAATTTCATAATAATCTCTTTAAAAGAAATAATCAGATGTCCTGAGATGTCCCCATTTTTTCCTAGGAAGAGCTCCCTGTGTGCTTGCCTCCATCCTAGGATTTGGGACTCACTGACTCTGAGTCAGTGCAAAGGCTGCGCTGCTGGGTGCCTCCGCTCCCCACCTGTTACTTGCCCTTCAGTGCACTGCTGACTACTGCAGCCCCTCCCCTCCCACACACTGCTCCCTAAAGGCTCCCCCTTGAACCCCTGATGCCAAATCCAAGGCCGCTTCTTAAATCTCATTTTGCATCTCTGCAGGGCCTGCTTGTGGCCACCGTCCTTCAGGGCTTCCCTCCCCTCTGAGCTGCGGTGACCCCATCATCCCCCTGACCTCAGCCTTCCCCAAGGAACCCCCCCACCCGAGTGCGTCTCTGGCTGTCTTTCCATATTGAGCTGGGTCGCCCTCTCCACTAAATCCATCCACTGTCATGACTTCAGCCAAACTTTATTGGTGTTTGCAGAGTGAGATCTACGGATGGGCAGTGGGGTGTTAAGAGAGAAGTGCAGGAATAGCGATCAGTGCATGGGAGGAACACTGGGTCAGACAGGCCTCCTTCTGCAGGCTCCTCAGAGCGTGGCCATGTGAGTCCCTCCTGAGTGGGGGCTGCAGGAGGGGCCACAATACAGGCTTTCCACACTCATTTAACCACCAAATCCCTTCTCTCAGGCCCCGCTATGGGAAAGGCTGCCATATATGTTAATGGTTTCCAAATCTGCACCTCCAGCGCAAGCTGCTTTCCTGACTAAGCACAGGCAACCCACCACCATCTTCCACCCCAAACCCATTCCACTTCCTGGGTGTCCAGCCTCGATGGAGGCATTACCATCATCCCCACTTAACGCTGGTCAACAAACCCTGCTCATTCAGGCCCATGACTCCCTCTCAAATGCATTCTCCCGGCTCTGGACCATTTCTCGAAAGCATCCATCTCAGCCTCCTCGAGAGGAAGAGCTGTCTAAGTGGGTTTTTGTTTTTGTTTTGTTTTGTTTTGCCTCCAGTAATTTCCCCTAGAATTTAGCTTCCACATAGTGGCCAGATTAATCTTTATGAAGCTGTCATCAGAAAACCTCCCCATTCAAAACCCATTAACAGCTGTATTCTACAGGTAAGACGGCGCTAAGCAGACACTCAGGTCTTTTCTCAGTGCCCCACCTGCCATTTCAGCCTCGTCTTCCCGCCTTGTCCTTCTTGAGACAACCACCAACCACCATGCCAGCTGTCCTCAGATCATATCCTGCCCTTGGACCTGCAATGGCCTTCCCTCCTTCTCTGCCTCACAGGGTCCCACCTGTCCTTCAAGCGCCCGCTCACACATGGCACAACCTCTCCCATGTCTCCCCACTCCATCCACACTTCCCTACTTTCCTCCTTGGCATGCACTATTCCTCCTTCTTCTGGGCTTGCTCCATTGTGCTTGGGCACCTGGCACAATGCATTACAGGTGGACGTGGACACCTCCAGCTGCCCCTCCCCCGCCCCCAGGCTGCAAATGCCTAGTGCTCTCCCAGCTCTGGCCCCCAGCATCAGTACATACTGGGAACTCAGCCAATGTTGACTGAGTACATGAATACAGAGGAGACGCCTGGCCGGCCTGGAATTCCATCGCTTCCTCCCTTGAACCCTCAGATTTCTTCATCTGCACCTACTTCTTGTTTTAGAATAATTTTTGGTCCTGCCTTATTGATCCCAACAAGGCCATAGCCCGTTGATGGCTGGGTCTGTGGTCCCTCTTCCAATCCCCCACCTGAACGGCATGCAGACCACAAGTATCTGGGAATGAAGGAGTGAGGAAGAGGCAGGTAAGCAGGCAGGGCTTCCCCTCCTGGGGCCACAGCCTAGCATTAGTCTCCAATGTGAAAGTCAGCAAATGCCTTGCCTGAGCCTTGTTCCTCCAAGTGAGGAGGGTGGGGACAGCTGGTCCAAATGGCCCAGCAAGGCAGTGTCATGCCGCAATGGGAGTGTAGGCTCTGGAGTGAGAGGGCCTGAGTTCAAAGCCAGCTTCTCCATTCACTAGCTGTGAATCTGGGACACGTCAGTTCACCAATGTGTTCCCCGGTTTCCTAATCTGTAAAATGAAAAATCACACCACTTCTGCCTTATAAAGTTACAAGGATTGGGTTAACACGCAGGAAGCACTCTGAATAACAGTAAACAGCGAACTCAAGAAATGTTTCCCATCGTCATCACCATCTCACCCCCTTCCAGCTATCACACTGGGAGTTCAGGCGACCTTCTGAGTAGGGATGAAGTCAATGGTTTGAATGAGTGAAGGGGAGCACAGGGGCTCATGAAGCAGAGGGGAAGCCAGGCCTGTCAGCGCAGTGTCTCATCCAGAATCCTAACCCTGACTCGCTGGGCGACTCGCCCCCGAGTCACACTGTCCCAGCAGAGATGCAACTAGGCCAGTGCAAACTGGCACCCATTCTCTGCTGGCCAGGCTCGGGGAGGGTCCTCCCTTTGGAAGAAATAACCTAAGAATCCTCAATCCTCAGGCAAGCTGCCTGAGGAAGGGGCAGTAGGGAGGGAGAACTGTATCAATGGGGTATGCTGCCTTGGGTCCAAGCTCAAGAAACATCCCATCATCCTCATCCTAGTCTACACAATCTAGAGGGCAGTTCACAGCAAATGACCACCTTTCAGTCTGGAGCACCGCGTCCAGCATCAGCCACCTCCAAGCTGCCCTGGGACTGCTATAGTTTCAAAAGCAAGTGTCTGCTTGGAAGGCTGATGACTAAAAGTGCTACCTTGGCCCCAGTAGGGTTTTAAAATGGCACAGAAAATAAATCTAAAGCAGCCAATCTCAAAAGCTGAAAGCTTGGCGTCAAGTTCATCATCATGGCCTTTAATTTCTCAAGAGTTAACTTCGCTTCTAGCCTTCAGTTTGTTTTTAATAACTCGGTCCTTTCATATCAGGAATCTGACCTTCCCCGCTGCAAAGCCCGGCACTCACGGTGATATTATTTTACAAAAATGTTAAAACAGATCCCCCCAAAGTCACATCCCACACTGCCCAGGTCAGCCTGTTCTAAAGGGTTTCAGGCATCTCCTAATACTCCAAATGATGAGTTTCTTCATCTGACGCTGTCAGTCAAGGTCTGGAAGCAAATGGGCACAAAAACCAGGCCAATCCACTTTGATTCGCCAAGAAATATTAACTGTTACTTTTCCTGAGCCACAAATTAAGCCTCAGCAATAAAGCCCCAGACAAAATCCAACCTACATTTTCTAAAACTACCAGACCAGAATATAAAAAAACTCCCATCAATAAAAACTAAACGGATATTTCATTTGTTTTGAGCCCTTTGGCAGGTTCCATGCCAAAGTCTATCCCAAGCTGGAGAACTGAAGGACCCTACTGGGTTAGAAAAGTGAATCTTGGAAAAACTGATCCAGAAGTCTAACCACGGAGGGATGTAGCAGAAACAATGGACCCTGCACTCCAAAACATCACGCGATAACAATGATAAACAAGACACGTAAATACAGAAACGTGTTTACAAAATAACGTAAGGAGAAGAGAGAATGAAAAAACCAGATATGCACTGTGATCTCAGTGGCAAGGCACAGATATGTATGTATATGCCTGAGGCACGAACATCAGGACTGTGATCACACACAGTTATGTTAGGGTGCTGGGATTATGGGCACTTCGACTTTATTTTCAAATTCCTTATATGTTGCTGTTTTAAGAAAAATTACATAATTGTAAGATGAAACACTCCAGTAAGTGTATCTGAAACAAGACTTTAAATGGCAGGGGGCTGGAGTCTGCACGGCTGTCCATGGCTTTGCACCAAACCGCACACGTATGCTTAGCTGACCACATACCCTCGTTCTCCTGGGCATAAGGTTTGGGGAATTTTCATTCACTCACGTCTACCGGCCCCGCCAGGGGAAATACAAACCCGGCATATGGTTGCCTTTCCTGCCACCACTGTTCTCAAGTTTCTCCGTTCTGTGGTGACCTCAGCATCACCGTAACCAGAAACCTGACGGGCTGAGCTGGGCTGATGGTAGGCGTCGGGGGAGAGCCTTACCTTCAGGGCCCCCTCCCCACACTGGCGACTCGCCAGGGCTGCAGCTAGAGGGGGTTCCAGTTGTGTGCACCAGGAGATACTCACCCAAGTTATTATGTGCTGGGGACATCGGATTCGGGGATAGGTTTGGAGAACCTGCGAGGTGAGACACAGTTGTGAGACTTCACAAAAGATTCTTGGCCTGGAGAGCCAAATTACTAAACACTTACAGATCAAGGTGGGGTGGCTCAACACAGCAGAAAGAAAACCCTGGACTGAGCCTCCAAGTCCCAGGAGAAGGCCTACCCCATACCCTTGCCTCTACTGTCCCTCCCTGGGCCCCAATTTCTTGTCTGGAACGAATGAATGGAGTGGATGATCTCAGAGGTCTCTTATGGTTATGATCTCAGAGGTCTCGGATGGTTTTATGATGCTAACCAAGACTCCCAGCTCAGGGCTGCTAAGTTCTCAACTAGAATAGGTGACACCTTTTTTCTTTAGCTTACACCTGCCCTATTAACTATGCCCTCAGGAAAATGAGAGGACCAGGGAAGCCCTTCTCCCAAGCTGCAAAGACCCAGGAAGCAGGAGGCCAGCCCTCCCACACAGGCGGGGCTTGAGGCCTCCCCAGCATCACCAGCCACGACCTTGGTCAGAGGCTGCAGCAGCTCAGGTGCTAGAAAGATCAATTCCAGGAAACTCACAAACCTGTCTCAGAAACCCTGCAACTCAGCAACCAGACAAACACTTTTTTTTTTTTTTTT